TTCATATTAAAATATATATTAGTTTAAAAATACATATCCCCAAATGTTATACATATAGTATTATATTATTTTTCACTTCTTGAAGTCTATAATTCAACAGGCTTTTCTTCCTTCATCCAAATCAAATTTCCATTTATCTATCCTGAGAGGCAACAAAAAAGTTAAGCAAAATCAGTAAAAATAAAAGGAAATATGATTATGTACCATTTGCTTTTGTGCCTCTAGCTACTGGTACATAGTAAGAACCCAAAAGTATTTGCTGAGTTAGAAATTGAATGAATGAGGAGTAACAGGACTCCATTAAAAAAAAAAAAAAAAAAAGCCCTCAGAATTTCTGGGTGAATTCAGAAAATATTTAAAAATCCAGAATTTTGGAATGGAAGCAGAGTCAAAATGTGTGATGAATAAGGATTTATTAATATATCCAAATCTAAAGATGCGATTTTTGTAAATGTATGAAATCACTAGGAAGTGATTTAATAAATATATTACAAAGAAACTAACACATTTTCCATGTCCTTCTTAAGAACAGAGATTAAAGTATAACATAAAAACCTGCAATATTATTGTCCCAAGAATGGCTTTAATGGAGTTTAGAAGGAGAATTTGAGAGTAAATAAAGAGCATGAGTAATAAAACATATTTATGTATGCATGCACATGTGTTTATGTATGTGTGTGTGTATATATGTATCCTAGTATAGTGTATGTTCAGTGTGTGTGTGTGTGTGTGTGTGTGTGTGTGTGCGTATGTATATATCCTGGTATAGTGTTTGTGTGTGTATATATAGCCTAGTATAGTGTATGTTTGGTGTGTGTGCATGTATATACCCTAGTACAGTGTATGTTTAAGTAGAAGCAATTCCGGCCTTACTACAGTCTAGACCTATGTATAAAACTTTCCTTTCTCTTTGCCTGAGAGAGGGGCTATAGGGTCATCTTGCAATTAATTACTTTGATTGCCTTAGGAATCACTACATTGTTTTCTTAAACAAGATATTTAGAATAGGAAGCAGAAATTAACTTAATGAGAACTTTTAAACAACCACATACTTTAACTTCTTCACACAGTTCAGCAAGACGAGCCTCTACATCCATTTTATCTAAAAGGGGTAAAAAGCAAAGGAAATATTTCAGTGTTAAATTTGAAAACTGAAATTATATTTAAAAAGTCAAAATCCTTTTCGATAAAAAATTAATTCCAAATTTATTTTAACAAGCTCAATTTTCTATAAGATACTCTTAAATTAAGGCATTTTTCTATTATAATTCTGATTTACTTAGGTATGTTCTAACCATTTATAAAGGGCTTCATAATTTATAATTAAAATGGTATTACTTATAAGGAAATACTGAAACTAACAGCATAAAGATTTATTGGCTATTTTTAAAGGGAAGAAATTACATGAAGGTCTCAAATATAATCTTTAAATATTCTTATTTTTGTTAACTAGAAAAATGTAACTAAAATTTGAGTTCCCACAAAGGCAAAAGTACATCCTGTAACATGCTGGAATTTGTTCATTAGCTCACTGACTACACCAACCATTTCAATGTCAGAAAAATCAGTGGCTTCCAATATTGTATTCCAGAACCAAAACAATCAGCAGCAAACCCTGTGTTAAATTCTGTATGCCAGTATCTACTTTCACATCACTCACTCTCTTTTCCTGTGACATAAGAAATTCATTAGTCTTGGTAAGTTACATATCCCACCTCAGAAAATAAAAGAAACCTTTGAAAGTTTTGATGTTTTTCTAATGTTTACATCTAAGAGCCCAAATGCCTATTACAGTTAGTGAGCTACTTTAAAGAAAATGTGTGTGTGTGCGTGCATGCATGCGTGTGTGTGTGTGTGTGTGTGTGTGTTGCAGACACCAAAGGTCAACATTATCTGTCTCCCTCATTTCATCCCCCACCTTACTTTTTGAGGCAGTGTCTCACTGACCCAGATGCTTTAGCTTGACTGGCTGGCCTGGCTCCAATGGTCCTCCTGTCTCCAGCCCCAACCCCAGTGCTCAGGAGTCAGCAGCAGTAGCTGCATCTGGCTTTTACATGGACGGGCACTACTTTTTTATTTTTATTTTTTTTGGTCTTTTTGAGACAGGGTCTCCCTGTAGCCCCAGCTGTCCTGGAACTCACTATGTAGACCAGGCTGCCTGCCTCTGCCTCCTGAGTGAGTGCTGGGATCAAAGGCATGTGCCAATATGCCCGGCCAGGTGCTACATCTTAAAGAATATGTAAAAACAAATTTTAACTACTTAACTTAAAAATCTGACAATTAAAATAATTTCAAAGTCACTTAAGATTTCTGCCTCACTTTAAAATTTGATTATAAGAGTAGGGATTTAGTTTTTTTTTTAAAGGCAAAATAAAAAGATCAAACAAAAAAAAATAAAACCAAACAAAAACATTAAAAACAAGGCAAATAAAATTTGATTTTAATTATATTTTTAAGCAAAGATATGACATAAATAATAGACATGTAAAACTGTGCTCATTACCTTGTTCAAGTTATCTTTTGAGAGTATTTCTTACTTCCACTAGTCCAAAGTTACAATCTAGAATATATTCTTCCAGATTATTCAAATATACATATAGAAGGTTTTAGGGTTAATGTTGTGCAAAAATGGAGTTATACAGTTTTCTGAATTTTATTTTGTTTTCCCTGTAGTATTCAGTTCTTAAGCACTTAAAAAAAATCACTTTTCATTCCTTGATATAGATGTATCATAATTTTTTCCCTATTCTTCCACTCCTCCCAAATTATGGTCTGTATCATTTCAGTATTTTGCTGAGAAATATGCTGCAATCAACCAACTTGTACATGTTAGTTTAAATGTGTCTTTAAAAACATTATTTCTGTGACACGAATTATCAGAAATTGGGCTGCTGGGTGAAAATATATGTGTATATACATTTATTTTCTGAATCTGACCACTTACTCAAATGTCAAATTTATAACTTATTTTTCTATCCTTTGTTTTAAATCAAGCCTCCCTCCCAATCAAAATCTACCATTTTCCTTTATACTGGCCTTAATTAAGCAGCATTTTACAGAGCCAGAATGCTCACAAGATAAACCAACAGACTGGCAGTACAGTAATTAAATTAGAAGCATAAAATTTTAATCACTATAAAGAGTGGTAAAGCATACCACTAAGGGTCATAATTTCATGCTATGAAATTGTTAATTTTATAGTAACTTAGAATGAGAATATAACATTATAAGTAAATTTTCAACCTTGCTTTTTTTTCCTTCATGATAAACATTTTTTTAAATGGTTTTAGTGAAAACTAAAGCAGCTCAAGTATTCCTGAGACAGTTTTCATCTGAGAAATACTCAGACTGCCTTCTTTATTTCCCTTTGTCCCTTCATCAGACAACTGAGAATACTGTAATTTTATTTCAGTTTAAAATGTTTACAGTTTTCCATTGTTTTTATTTATTTTATGTGTATGAGTGTTTTGCATATGTGTGTACCATACGTGTGCAATGCCCTTGGATGCCAGTTTCAGGAGATGCTCAGATTACCCTGAAACTGGATTTATGGATAGTTGTTAGCCACCATGAGGGTTCTGGGAACCGAACCTGGGTCCTCTGCAAGAGCAGTTAGTGGTCTTAATGACTGAACCACCCCTCCAACCCCTTCCATTATTTAAATAAAGTTGTATCTGTTATTCAATACCATGTAAAAACTTTGATTATGTTTATAGAATGTTAGTAAATTAGGTACTATTGCTGTGCAGGAACAAAAGTCTAACATACACAGAAATATACAAATAAAAAGGAAATAGGAATTGTTCCTTTAATATGTGTGACATTTAGACAGTAGGGATTTGATATCATTTTTTAAAAAAATTCTAGAATAATTAAAAACACATAAAATTTGACCCAAACTACAACACCAAATACTGAGGATGTTTATCTTTTTATCCCTACATAAAATTTAGCTTTAGCTTTTAAATCACATTTTATTAATCATTAGGCCTATCCAAAGACAAAAGTACTTTAAGGAAATTTAAGACAATTATTCAATCAGCAAATTCTGGTAATATAGATGGTTTTGAAAAAGTGTTCTTTATAAAAACTAAAAATATGGGAAAAGCTAAAGAAATCTTCGAATTATTATTTTTACTTTTAAGAAATTCAATATTACAAATTAACACAAATTTATCTACAAGCCAAACTGATTATATAAATTAAGTTCTTAAAGGGTGAATATACTATCTTAATATGTACATTTACAAAATCTGACACTATCTTAAAGCAAAAGTTTAATTAAAAGGGATCATTCAATTCACCTATTTGTAAACATACCTACACAGGTGTCATTCTGGGTTCTTGGCTGTTTTCTTCTGAGGAGGCGTTCATAAAGGACCTGCATGTTGGCCTTGGCTAGTTATAAGGATTGCACACAGCACTAGTTACTATACTCCTTTTACAAAAAAATTTACTTGAATTTTCCAACGTGTTAATAATAGACTTATTATTGATAGTTAATTAGCTTATTAGAATTACAAATGATGTACATTCGAGTTTAAATCATTTTGCTTTTTAATATTTAAATGTCACGTAATAGTTCTTAATTATTATTTTTATGTTTTAGCATCTTAGATTCATAATTTTAGTGTTGCAGGGTTCTCAGAGGTCAGCTTGCTCAGCTCCCTGCTTTACAAGTGCAGATGTGAGGATCAGATGGGTGTTTTGACTTGTCAAAACCTAGACTCCGTATGTTCTGACTCATTTTTTGAACTCCTTTTTAGTAGAGCTCTTTGAATTCAACCAATGTTAATGACACATCCTCAAAAAAATGTACATCATTTATCTAGGAGAAAAGAAGGGGGCAAAAGAGCAGAAAGGAATTCAAGTTTTATTTTAAAAGAGGGAACAGAATTTAAAGTTTTCAAAGCATCATGGAGTTTAAGAATTTTAACTCCACACTTACTTGAAAACATTTAAAACAATGTTAAATGATAGAGGGGAAATAGACTAAATTCTCTACAGGAGTTACTTTATATCCCATTATTAAAACTAATGATTATAATGGTATTTATTAAATAGTACATCATATACCATGGAAATATGTTAGTGTCTATAATTCAATTTTATCAGGATGAGAAATGTTGGTAAGTTCAGAATATGAAAGAACCATTTTTATTTTGAATAGTTAAAAGTATTTTTGGATATTCTTCTAGAGGATATACTCAGGAGTAAACTAAAAATCACAATAAAGAGAAAAGAAAATATAAATAGTAAAGCTTAATGATACAAAGTATTACCAATAAATATTTACTGAAGATGAGTCTTAATTAAAAAAAATTCCTAGGAAACATGCTGTTTAAAAACTGCAATGTGTATTTTACCCATTCATTCATTCATTCATTCAATAAATGAATTCTTAGTAAGTATATGTACAATGTATTATAATCTTATGTTCTAATACTTACATTTCTAAAATGTAGGATTACTTTAGAACTTTGCTTTCTAATATTTTAAAGCAAGTAATTTGGAATAACATTATTATTCATTTAATAACTAACTCATGAAATTAAATAAGGGCTTTTTTAATTATAAAGTTTTATGTAATACACCTATAAGTCCAGTTATAAAACATAACAGTTATCTTTACTTGAAACAAAATTGAAAATATTGTGACTAACTGAGTTATTAAGCTGAGTTAGATTAATAAAATAAAAAATGCTAACACCAAATAATCTATTTGACAAGAAATGTTTTTTTAAATTACCAATTGAAATTTGCTGATAAATGTTATTTCCTAATTTTTGAGAAATATTTTTCCTTACTTAAAATGTAGGTCATGTGTATTTTCACCTACAAATATTACATGTTAAGTATACTTGACTACTGCATGCAGATGGACATGTTTACACAGGTATTTATACCTACTTCATCTATCAAAACCTGAAGAGGTGTTGCTTTGCTGTGTGTCTCCTGCTCATCTTAGTGATGAGCTAATTTATTGAAACTGCTGCTGGGAGGAGAGAGGACGAGGAGTTGGCAAAAGTTCTTTAAAGACCAAGAGTCATCATATCCTCTGCACCTGCACTGTGCCCAACATAGCAGATACTTTAAAAAGGCCAAGGATGTTGCAAAGAGATGTCATTCCTAGATCATCTGTACACCTTCTGGCTTTTGGGCATCCTTATTCTCAGTTTCTGATTCATCATGCAGAACACCTGATTTCCTTTCAGCTGGTTACCCAAAGAATCTAAACCATTTAGTGTTACAAAGTGGGCAAGTGAAACAACCACTCTCAAATGCACACATGCAAAAAAAAAAAAACAAAACCAAAAAACAGAACAAAACAAAAAAACCCTCTGTGAATTCTAGTATAGCATTTCATACTTTGTCTTGTAAAAACATCATCAACATACATGGTTTAAGCTGTTTCTTAATCTTAATGGCAGTAATGGAATGGAATGAAGGGGCTCACACATACTAGGTGAGCCTTCCCACACTGAGCTATATACCTAGCCCACTTTTTAAACTGTGATTACTGCTTTTCATAAATCCTTCTTTCTGACACATTCTATCCTTCATTAATACTGTGGTTTCAGAATTTTACAGTATGGTCACTAAACCCACCAAAATTTATAATTTTCCTACAAAAATGTTTTGAGTCCTAAGTTATATTGAAAATATTTATAATATATTTTTTGCTTTTACTGAAGCCTAAATTAGCTTTATTTTGTAAAAAAATGTTTTCAGGGGGCTGGAGAGATGGCTCAGCGGTTAAGAACACTGGTTGTTCTTCCAGAAGACCCGGGTTTGAATCCCAGCACCCACATGGCAGCTAACAACTGTCCGTAATTCCAGTTCCAGGGGATCTGACAGCCTCTTCTGTCCTCTGTGGGCATTGGGTGCACTTACCTACACGCAGGCAATATATACATACACATAAAATTTAAAAGAAAAATGTTTTCAATCTCTGAACATCACCACTTAGATCTGAAGTAGTAGTCTCCTATGAAATTTTCTGAAGGGATAGAGGGAGACTAAGTACTTGAAATGCAAGAACAAAAGAGTATTTCAAAAAATAATAATCCTGGTCCGGGCAAGGTGGCGCATGCCTTTAATATCAGCACTCATGAGGCAGAGGCAGATGAATCTTGGGCTAGCCTGGCCTACATAGTAAGTTCCAGGCCAGCTGGGGCTATAGAGACTCTGTCTCAAAAAAAAATGAAAAGCTTTTCTTTTCCATACTACCATTTTTGCATGATCAAAATAACTAAGGCAAGTAAATACATTTTCCTCTTGTGTTCCTGTTACTCTTTGAGATTACTGAATCAAATCAGCAGTTCACTTAGTGATACCTATGTCTTATCAAGTGAAAGAAGTGTAACCTAAACTGATAGAATCACACAGTTTATCCAGCCCACTGCAGCAAACTGCCAGGTAGTGTTCACTATCTAGCATTCTTTCATAACATCATTGAAGCAGGGTACAAACCCTTACAATTTCTTGTTCCATAACTTCAAACACATAAGTGACTATTTTAGAGAATGTACTGTTAATATACTGAAATCCTTGAGGAAAAAGAAATAAAGAACAGTGACTAAGTAAAAAATTAAAAATTGTTCCTATTGGAACAAATGATAAAAATAAATCATTTTGGATAAGTAATTAAATGTCCTTCTTATGAACTAATATTTGAAAATCAGATTTATGAATCTGCCAAAAAGGTCTTGGAAAAAACTGATCTATTTTTCTAAACTATCTAAGTAATATTCAAAATGTTAAAAGTACTGAGTAATGCTACTATTCCTTAAAGTAACAGGAAAAGAAATAGAGATCCAGACAACTTAAAATCTAATGTCTATAAAACTGGTCTACGTATCTATAATCTGCTTAGGCTACTGAAGAGAAGTAGGGGTTTAACCGACATCCCTTGATTCTGCAGATAACTACACTTTCTAGCACACTGCTTGATTAAACTTAAAGAGGAACAGTATATTGACATGTGACCTGTTATTTTAAAAAGTCTATCAAAAGAATCATTTTAATCTTTGGACAAAGAAGTTATTTCTCAACATTCTAACACAAATTTTAAATTTCAGAAAGTGATTATTAAGGGTTTGAAAAAACAGTTGAGAGAGAAGAGTCAAGCACATGACAGAGAAAAGCTGTGGCAAAGCTGGTGATGAGCGAGAGAAGAGGGAAGAACATGAGCTATAGGGCAGGTCTGTTGTCACATACCCAGTTCTAGTTTCTGACAAGAGGGAATCTCTTCTGTTACCGTAATGAAGTAGTTGTGCAAACCCTTGAAGGCTAGTAGCAAAGTGGCACAAAGTGTATAATGAAAACGGTAGGCATGATGCAGGAAGGACTCCGCAACGAGGAAGCTACAGCCCTAAGACAGGAATAGTGGGAACGCAGTGTTAGTAAGCGAAAGTCAACATGTGTGACACTTTACACCTTGAAAAAGTAAGAAAAAAACAAACCTTTCAGTTGCCATTTACAGTTATTCTAAAATGTGTAAGAAATTCAGCAGTATCTTGAGTTGTTCATGTAATTTAAACACATTAAATGTGACCACAGCAATCTGTCATAATTGATTAAATTATGACTTTTTAGTAAGATGAGGCTGCCAATACATTTTGATCAAGAGGCACTGCATGGAGAACATGAACTCTCTTCTCTATACTAAAAGTTATGCTTTTACTAATCTAAGTTGGGCCTCAATTCTGGCCATTCTTCTCTAAAGGCTTTGGAATGTTTCTAATATTTGCAAAGGTGGGTGACAGTAACAAGTTTACAAAGGACACTGGCTGTCAGATACCTCTATTCACTGAATGTGGTAAAGTTTTAAAATAAAAGGCTGACTTTCATAATAAATAACCAATTTGTTACGATCATATTTGATTAGATCTGTACACTGTTGAACTCAAATACTTTATCAAAGAAATATTACATTCATTAACAGATAAAATAGTCCAAAACATTTTTTTTAAATCAAGGCAAAATAAAAGGAAAATATTTATGTACATATTCAGTTCTTACATCTGGTGATAATTGTTTTGTGTAGTTAATACCAAAGACTACACTTTCCAGAGTGGGAATTGCAGAATCTTTGTTCTGTGCTGGTGCATTTCTGTTTAACCAAGTGGTCTTCACAGGGCGAGGAAAGCTGGAGGAACAGGCACCACGTTATTATTGTCTTAGCAGTCTACTTTAATGTGAGATTTTTACAAAAGATAATATTACAAAATATATAAAAGTTATATGACAAAAGTTCTAAAATATTCTTAAATTTTCTTTCAATAATTTGGAATGATGGAAAATGCAAGGAATATTAAAGAAATTAAGGCTAGATACTTCAAACTGCCTCTGACTCTTCTTGAGGTACTACTGGGCATTAAACCCAGGGCCTTACACATGCCAAGCAAGCTCTGACCATGCCAGGCAAGTGCTCTACCAACTGAATTACACTCCCCAGTAGTTGACAAGGCCACTTAATTTTAGAGCATCAAGAAGTCTCAAAGGATTCTAGAAAGACAAAACAAAACTGAGTGGGATCCAGAGTAAGTATGTGACAGATGAGAGCCAAGCTTTAATTTGTGAAATGTTAGACCTAGCTACCAAAAACGTTAACAATCAGGACTAGTAGACGGCTCGGTCAATGAAGTGCCTGCTGCACAAGGATGAGGCCCTCAGTTTAGATTCTCAGCACATGCGCATGTGTGGGCAGAGAGAGAGAGAGAGAGAGAGAGAGAGAGGGAGGGAGGGAGGGAGAGGGAGGGGGAGGGGAGGGGGAGAGGGAGGAGGTCGGGGCGAGGCAGAGGGAGAGGGAGGGGGAGGGGAGGGGGAGAGGGAGGAGGTCGGGGCGAGGCAGAGGGAGAGGGAGGGGGAGGGGAGGGGGAGAGGGAGGAGGTCGGGGCGAGGCAGAGGGAGAGGGAGGGGGAGGGGAGGGGGAGAGGGAGGAGGTCGGGGCGAGGCAGAGGGAGAGGGAGGGGGAGGGGAGGGGGAGAGGGAGGAGGTCGGGGAGAGGCAGAGGGAGAGGGAGAGCCAGGCCTGTAATTCCAGCACTGGGGAGGTAGAGACAGGTAGATATCTGAGGCTTGCTGTCTAGTCAGTGTAGTCCAATTAATTGGCAAGTTCCAGGTTCAGGGAGAGGCCTCATCAAAACACAGGGTGGAGAGCAATTGATAAAAGAACATCTGACATAAACTTCTGGTCAACAGATGTGAACACACACATACACACACACACGCATGCACGCACACAATTAATCATATGTGAATGCTTAAAGAACTTCCCCTTCAATATAGAAAAGCAAAATTACTAAATCTAGTTGATCTATTTCTTATAAAAATTTCTTTAATTAGGACCGTGCTTCAAAGCAGCACTTGCGTCACTTATTGTATGAACAACTTCTGCTAGAATTAACATTATAATGAACAGCCTATGAATTCCAGAGAGTAAGAAGCATATTTCTTTTTGAATGTTTAAAAATCAAGCTGGGCCAGGTGCAGGTCTATAATCCCAGCTACTACACAAGCTGAGGCAAAAGGATCACAAGTTCAAGGCAGTGTATGTATGTATATATGGATGTGTGTGTGTGTAAGCCAGAGGATGATGTTGGTTGTATTCCTCAGTCATTCTCCACCTATTTTTTTGAGAATGAGTCTCTCACTGTACGTGGAGTGTGCCATTTGGCTACACTGGGTGGCTTTACTGGAATCCATCTTTCTCTGCCCTTACTCCAGCACTGGGGCAACATGTGTGCTGCCACATCCAGCTTTTACATGGGTACTGGGGGGTCAAACTCATGCTCTCACAGCAAGCATGCTAACCATGGATTCTTCTTCTCAGTTTGGAAGAGGCCATTACAAATTTTTATACATGTTTTATCTCTGTGTGTGTATGTGTATGTATGTATGCTGTAGTGCATGTGTGTAAGTCAGAGGACAACTTGTGGGAGTCAGTTCCTTCTACCACATGAGTCTCAGGGATCAAACTGAGGTTGTCAGGCTTGGTGGGAAGTATCTTTACCACTGAACAATCTCACAAGCTCCCATAATAGGCTAGTTTTAAAAACAAGCAAAGAAAGAAATCCTAAGCCTATTAACTTTAAATAGTTGATTTGAGTTGTATTATTTATTTAAAATTTTGATTTTATTTTTATTTACATATATGTGTATATGTGTACATGTGTGCAGGTGCCTGGAGGCCAGAAAAGGGCATTGGGTCCCCATGGAAATGGAGTTACAGACCGTTGTGAGCTGCCCAGTTGGGTGATGGGAACTGAATTTGGTTTCTCTCAAAGAACAGAGGTGCTCTTAGCTGCTGAGCCATCTCTCCAGCTCCAGAGTTGCAGATAATCTCTCAACCAGGATCATGTACGAAACCCTACAGTGTGTATACATGTGTGCATACCTACCTATCTACCTACCTACTACCTACCTACAGAGAGAGAGAGAGAGAGAGAGAGAGAGAGAGAGAGAGAGAGAGAGATAGAGAGAAAGAGAGAGAAGAGAGGGAGAGAGGAGAAAATAGGGGCCTGGGCTGGGAAGAAAAGTAGTAGTGGGAGTGGAAGGGAAATAAAGTTAACGGAAGTGAATATAATAAAAAAAATACTTTATGTGTGAAGGTGTCATAATGAGATGCATTATTACATAATTAATACATGAAACTAAAAAATTAAGGAAAAAAGACTCATGGAAGCTGAGCACAACTTCTCAAAAATGGCCCCAAAGGCAAGACAACACTGGCAAAACAAGCAGATACATAGTCTTATTATAGAATGAGGAAGGCAAGGTAAGTAGGAGTAGCTTATCCCTGGCTCTGTGCCCTAAAATAACTAGGCAACATGATCTTTATCTAAGAGAATAAAGAACAACATAATGGAGGTGTTCTCAATTATGGTTTTTAAAACAATGTAAAGATATGACAGAACAGGCTATTATTTGTGGCTCATCTGCAAAATTGTGTTGCATCATAAATTCTGAGGGCAATTCTGTAAACTGACTTACTTGGCTGATATGTCAGCTTTACCATCATGTGTATCCCTTAAGCAACATCCATAATAACACTTGTTGTCAATAAATTTGTGTTGGAAATTGTAGACAGTTCAGAAATCAAGTCAATGGAATATTTTTATGTAGGTTATTGATTTGAAGTTTCTATGCCCTGCCCATACTATCAAAGATGGTATTTATCTTATGAACCTAAGGGCCTGAATTATGTCCTTACATTGATGAAACATAATTTGGTCTCCCCATGGAAGTAGTAAAAAAAAAATTACCCAGTGAATGTATTATCACAATATTACACGTTCTAAAATTAAAACCATATTATGACATAACTTAAAAAGGCTTAGTAAAAATCCACAAAATTGTTTAATAACTTAGAAATTAATATGAGTATATGGCAGAGTTAAAAGAAACAAGCGACCATCCAGTAAAGAGACAAAGAAGGCTAAGAATGCACTCATATACTGTTCTACAGAGAATGAGTGAGACTACAGTGCTGTACAGAAAACCAGATGGAGTAAATAATGCTACATGGTTATTTTTGTATTGCATTCTTTTCACTCAGTCAACTCATTTAAATTACAAAATCATTCCATTTACTCCATATATTTGAATAAAAATGTTATCAATACTAGTGATCCCAGGCTTTGAACTGTGTTGTTTATTATTAGATTAGCAAAAAGTGAAAATATTTCTCAATAATTATGAGAAATAATTATCTATTTCAGTTATCTTTATCAGAGTATATGTTTTCAGTATAAAAAACAAACACATTACATTATTAAGGACCAGGGTCTTAGCTAAATTTACCTTATAAGTGGCTGGTGTAATGCAACCAGTGATGCATGGACTGTAACAGATACAACAGAAAGGTGGAAATAATCAAACATAACATTAACATGATGATGAAGTCCTCTAGAGAGGCTAAAGTGCAGCTTCAATGTTCGACTACTTATTAGTTGTAAGGTGTTCAGATCATCTGCCCTATAAAAAGCAATAAATTTTCATGTAATTATGGAATATTTAGTAAAGGCTAATATTTTATAAATTAGTTAAAACTATCAAAACAGACTTATTCTTTTAAAAACAGAATGAGAGTCATTTTGAAGGTATCCAATTTTAATAAGTAATAATATGAAAATGTAACTAGAAAATAATCATATTCTACTCACCACTCTCTATCAATACATGATATGGGCTGTTTTCCACTACCATTTATAACAATAAGCTCTTTCTTTTAGCCCAGTAATTAATAATCACCTTAAACTTTATTCCCCACAGAATTCTGCTTCTTACAAGGCTGCTGCATAGCACAGGCCAAATCCTACTGTAATAAACCCTAAAAGGTCTGTCAAATTATTTCTACTGCAAAAAATTTTATTAAATGCTGCTTGGCGAGCCCCTATCTTGTAAGTAAACCACTGTTTATTCAGGAAATATGTTTGTATTATAGTATGTTACTACATTTATACATACAAAAAAAACCTAAAACAGGAAAATTCCATCCAAATAACCACGCATACAATAGAAATACCACAGCTAACGTATCACCTATTCGGTTGAGCTTAATCTTCTTAATTATTATGACTTGTGTTTTAAAAGTGTCAAGAGGAACAATAGTTACTATATATAAAATGACTACTCCCCCATTATGGAGAAGAGGCTACCAAAAGCAGACCTTTCAGCACTGTGACTACTTATTACTAGAGTCTCAATTCATGCACAGCTTTTCAACAAGTATTTTTAAAACTTGTCTGAAATAAGGGGAGAAAAAGCTCTCAAAAAATAAAATTGTTAATGGGTTTCTGATTCTTGTCTTAAATGAATAAAAGCACAATTTGCCACCAAAATACATGACTGTATGCCCAGGCATATGGGTAAGTTCAGGGTATCCATTATTTCTGAAACTTCCACAAGAGATTAGGAAAACAGCTGTTAAGTCATTAGTCTTGATCATTCTCAGAGTACTATCAAAACCTGCCTAAAGAAGGCACAACTTATGCCAAGACAGACTCCCCAGTGAGCAATGGAAGTGAGTGCAGTTCACATAAGTGCTTGGGGTGGTGCTCCAGCAGCTGTACACTTCTGGAGTCTAGGGAAGCCTTTCCTATTTTTCATCTTGTCTGATTTGCTACCTGGAGCTCTTTGGGATCAGCAGGGGCACTGAAGAGAAGACCTAATCATTCTCAAGAAAAAAAATAGATAGGGAGTAGTGGCTCCCAAAAGAAAATGGGTTACTTAACAAAGTCATGAGTGTGTAAAGATTTTTTTTAATTGAATAGCCTACTTACGAATAATCTCCGTCTGTGAAATGCAGATCCAAGGATAATAGAAAATTTATTTCCTCAAGGGTTTCTTCAATCTAAAGAGAAATTTATAAGATGCTTTTCAAATATTTATAAAGTTACAAATATGCACCAAAGCTTTACAAAAATATTTATCTAAATAGATATAAAGAGTTATTTACCTTCCTTTCATCCAACAACATTTTAACTTTGAAGATCATGACATCATTTAAAACAACTTCTTCATTTTTATATAGGATTTGAAATGTTTTACTGCAAAGCAGAGCATCGTGAACTGAAGCTGGAAAGGCTAATGTCATACCTAAACAGAGAGATACGGAACTAACTGACAAGGCCAAATAATCCAAGTAATTGAACACTGATACTTTAACTTTAAAATACTATAATTTTGATTACATCACTACATCATCATTACCACTTACTATAGACACATTAAAAGCTTCTGTAAGCTTATTAATTTCTGTGAAAAAATTTCATAGATAAATATAGTACAATCATTATTAAAACTGCTACAAAGCATTAAAAAAAAATTGTTTGAGCTGGGTGTGATGGTGCATGCCTGTAATACCAGCACTCGGGAAGCAGAAGCAGGCAGATCTCTGTGAGTTCAAGGCCACCCTGGTCCACAAAGTGAGTTCAAGGCAGCTGGGGCTACAGGGAGACCCTGTCTCAAAAAGACAAAAAAAAAAAAAAAAAAAAAAGAAAGAAAAAGAAAAAACATTGTTTGAGCCTATAATAACGGGTTGTCTCATGGGGGAAGAGAACACACCGGAATAGGTGAGATTTTCTTGCTATAGAGCTCAAATTGCATCAGACAGTATTGTTCATATGCTATAGAGTATTGCTAGCAAAGGACTTTCCTTTTTTTTTTAAGACAGGGTTTCCCCCTGCAGCCCCAGCTAGCCTGGAACTTACTATATAGACCAGGCTGGCCACTCCCTTACAGACATCGGCCTGCCTGTGCCTCCTTCCTGTGCTGGGAAGGATTTTTCTTAATCTGAAAGGTAAGTGATGCAATATCAGAGTAGATATTTTGGGTTGACTAACTGATCTATATAACATAGAAAAAGAGCAATTTAGATTACCAAAGCTAAAGAGCTAAAAGTTTAGCTGCTATTTGTCTTTGTTACTAGAACATAAACATTAAACACTAGGAATAAAAAAACATTTCCCCAGTTTCTGGGAAGTAGACTCTAAACCTCCTATGAACCCAGATATTTTATGCTAAGGAGATGGCCCAGGATGTGGCTCCCATACCACCATGAAGACAAATCATGTGATTAGAAAACTGGGCTTTCAGGCACACAAAATAAGCCAATTATTTAGGCAGGGGAGGAGACTAGAGATTTGAGGCATGTTGGGAATGATCCAATTAACTGTACCTACCTCACAGTATACCAATAAAAACTCTGGACATAGAACCTTGGTGAACTTCTCTGATTTATAATACTGTAAATTGTTATATATAGTTTGGGTGTGTGTGTTGTGGCAATGCATACCAGTTTTAAGGGAAGAAAACAATGGAAGTTTATATCTGGGACTTTCCAGATCAGTCCTATGCACTTCTTTTTTAAAAATTACATTTATTTATTTAATTTATTTTTATTGTGTGTGTGTGCATGCATGCACATGTGTCATGGTGCACGTGTAGAGGGCAACTTGAGGGAGTTGGTGCTTCAACAAAGTGAGAAAGATTGAGAAAAACACATGAGAGTGAGTGGGCTTTATTTGTGAAGGTGCACAGTACAAAAACAGCATCATGGGAAAGAAGAAACAGTGACAGGGACATAGGAAGGGCTGATCAAAAGAGAAAATCAGCTAAAGGTAAATGGGAAGTAGGTTCCTGCAGTGAAATTAAGTACATATCCTGACAAATTAAATTCCTCTGAAATGGTTCACATATTGGCGTAGCACTCTTCAGTGCTTCAGAAAAAATGTTTTAGGCCAGAAAGATATGTCACTGGGAAAAAAGCACTTGCTGTGCAAGCCTGACAACGTGAACCCAATCCCCAGAACCTTGGGAGAAAGAACCAACTCCTGCAAGTTTTCCTGACTGCCACATGTGGACCATGGCATGTGCGTGCTTGCACATGCCTGGACAGACATCCATTAAAAAACAAAAAACACACAAATGATTTTTATAATGCATTATCAACTTTTCTATTGTTTTGAAATGTTTTGGAATATACATTTACAGTGAAACTGGATAGCACAAAACTCAGTTTTGAATGATATAGAGAACTGACATGGGGAAGAAATTTCCTCAATAAAAAGATTCTGTGTGAAGCCATCAGATAATGCTACCTAGAATTTGTTGCCTCAAGAAGCAAATGCTTCCCGACTGCTCTTCCCAGTGATGCTGCTGCTCTCTCAAACGGGCTGTTTTTTCTCCTTTCATTCCTTCCTCTGGTATGTATAGTGTATGCGTGTGTAAGTGTTCATGTGTGAACACAAGGGGGATAGCGATGGGGTTGTGCATGGAGTCAGAGGTTGGTGTTGGGTGTCTTTCTCAGTTGCTCCCCACGTTATTTTGGGGGACAGGGTCTCTCTCACTGAACCTGGAGCTCACCAATTCAGCCACACTAGCTAGCCAGTGAGCACCGGGAATTCCTGTCTCTGCCTCCCCACTGCTGGATTTACAGATGTGTGCTGCCAGGCCCACTTTTTTATGTGGGTGCTAGGGATCCAAACTCAAGTCCTCATGTTTACATGGCATGAAATTTACAAATTGAGCTATCTTTCCATCCCCCTCCTACACTCCTTTTATCACCGTGTTCCTTACTGATGCTTTGAGACATCGTCTCTCTTTAAAAACAGCTTTACTAACAACTCTGAGCATCAAGTCACTAGATTGCACAGTACCACTGACCACCTCATTCCTTCTTGCAGTCTCCAAGCTCCTGTAAGCCCTAATTATTGAAAGTTTTACTTCTTAATTCAGGAAGTTCTCTCCAAAACTACTTTAGCCATGACTCCTGATAGTGACACAGATAAACCCTGCAGTCCCTAACTCTGTCTTTCCTTTTTACCTGTTCTCGCCTTACAGCCCTCCTTGGCTCCACATTCCTATGGTCCATTCCCTAGGTTTCTGTATTAACTTTGACTGCAACTCTGCTATACAATCAACTTCCTCTGCTCTCTTTATCTTTCCAGCTTACCTCCTCAAATAGCACAAGTCTAACAATCCTTTGACCCCCACTTAGGAACAAATTCCACTGCAGCACTTACTAAGTGACACCACAATACAGTTCTACCTTAATAAAAACAGCCTGACTCTGAGCATCTATTTTAAAACCAAGAGTAGACCCGAACTGCTGAGAACAAGTTCCTTCTGAATTCTCTTGGAATTCTGCTCTAGTGCCCTTTCTTTGTTTCACTGAAACCTTGTAATATCTAGCATGAAATGGGAAAGTAAATATGAGATTCTTACCTTGTCAGAGAATTTTGGCCTTTCTGATCCCTAGACTACCACACACACCATCATAAACAGATGTCATCAACTGAATCCTATCTATTGCTTATGGCACAGATGGAATAATTTGTTTCCATAAAAAAATCTGTGTTTTTGTTATTCGCCACATACACACCCATACATTATTCTACGTCCAGGAAGGTTCTGGAGGCATTAAGGTCAAATGCCCAGGTCACAAGGGGAACTCAAGATTACCTTTTAGGTTGCAAGGTTAAGTAAAGGTTAAGAGAAAGTCACTTGTCTACACTGTAAAAGTCATTACCATGATCTTGATCCTTCTCATGATCGGTCTGCTTTCATGTCCTCACTTTCCTCCTTACTCATTTTAAATCTGGACTCACTGTTGTTACATCCTCTTATATGCATACACCCTATTAAGAGGGCCCAGAAATAAGAATCCTAGCTACTCCCAAGTCTCAGGTAGGAGGACTGATAATTCCAGTCTAGTCCAGGCAACTTAATGAGACCCTGTCACACATAAAAACAAAAGCAAAAACAACCAATCAACTAACCAATCATCAAATAAATATCCTATTGATAGTATATATTACTCTTGCTTTGACAAACTAGCTTGAATAAATTTTAATTTTACTAAGTCCAGCTCTCTACCTGATCCACACAAGCCAAATATGCTTGGGGAACAATACACAACTATTTGGACTGGCTATATTTTAAAATCATGACTGTTAAGCTCAAGTGGGCCCTTAGTACTACCTAGCAACCATACTGATTTCTGAATTCATTTTTTTAAATTTACTTATTTTTATTTGTGTATGTGCACATGCATGTGTGCTTACTTATCTGTATGTGCACCATGTATGTGCAGGTTCACATGAAGGCTAGAAGATGGCACTGGAGCTCCTGGAACTGGAGTTACAAGTGGTTGTGAGCTGCCATGTGGGTGCCAGGAACTGAACTTAGATCTTCTGTGAGTGCAGCTGGTGCTCTTAACTGCTGAGTTATCTCTCCAGCCCTCAAAACACTTATTTGCCTGTCTGGACATCATACTCTTAATTGCTGAGCCATCTCTCCAGCCCTTGTAAATCCATTTTAAACTCACATTTCTAGGTGATTATTTTACAAATTTTCCTAATCTTAGCCTTCAATCTCTATTAACTTTGGTTATTCATGACATAA